AACTGGTTTTAACATTCTACTTAGGGCATGGCCTTTGCTTTTCCCTCCCTCTCGTCTCTCAGTGACTTCATGGTTAGTCCGTGGTGCGTGGCTGCACTGGGACTTCAGTGTTCGAAGGCAGACATCAGTAGAAGGTCGGAAACATGAGAAGCCTCACTCTAGCTCTGGTTTGCAAAGCCCTGATGAGTGAGTTGTGCTTGAGCTCTGAACAAGATAAAAGAATCTCAACATTTGTGTGCATCTCACATGACTGCCCGCAGAGATGAGAACGAGATCAAGTCCTCACTTCCTGCAGTAGCCTGGCCTTTACCAAGCTCAGGCCAGGCACCCAGCTGTTCATCTCTGCAGACCACAGAAGATGCCTAGGAGGAGGCAAGGGAGGCTGGCCGTCCAGGAGCTCACAGGACACTCTGGGTGATGGTGGCTGGTATGGCCCGTTCTGATCTTGAGGGAGAGGTGGCTGGGTTTGGGATGGGAGACACCCCAAAAAAGCATGTCACACGCTAGTGTGGATGCAGAGCTGAAATGCAAGAGTTGTCTACCGCAGACAGCAGGTGCTCACCAACAGTGAGTGCCCACTGACAGCAGGTATCCACTGACAGCTGGTGTCCACTGACAGTGGGGTCAGGCTGACTGGGAGCTATGCTAGTAGTCAGGGGGCTTCAATTTCAGTCCAGGAACTTGACTCAACCACAGAGACCGCCATGGAATTTTAGGCAGAGATGGGACCTGAAACCTCTCTCACCAAAGAAATGTGGGAACTGTGGTCTCACATGGGACCTGCTGGATCCCTCAGCCCCAGCAGCAGGTCCCATGATCCAGACCTTTAGAGCTCGAGGGGTAGAGCACCAGCCTTCGTACTGCGTGCGTGTAGCTTGTGACACGAAGGCTGCAAGCAAGACATCTGGGAGCCCACACTGAGGGCAGTGAGGACCGTGGTAAAGGCTGAGTCACATCCGTGAAGAAAAGATGGAATTTCAGCGTGCGGCAGTGGAATATAAACTTTGGGGTGCGGGATAAAACAAGAATCCCAACCTGGGATCAGTCAACCAGAGGGACTATGGTGAGTCTGAGGGATGCAGTATGCCACCCAGAAAGTCATGCCAGGGTGGAGACTGGTGTATGCTCTGGGAGCCAGCGAGGAGCCGGGGGCGGGGGGCAAGAAAGGGGCCACAGATACACAGCACCTGCTTGACACCTTACTCCTAGGGCCAGGGCGGGTGGTTCCAGACCATTTTTCTTGATTAAAAAAAAAAAGTGTATGAAGCTGCGCACTGGGTGCTCACACCAGGCTGCTGACCCATGGCCGGGCTATGTAGGCCTTCTGACAGGCTACCATGCCTTTGTGGCAAATGTGCCATGATCGGAACCTTTCAGCCTTTCAGCTTTGTGACCAGTTTGAAGAAGTGAGTCAGCTTGTCCAAAGGGAATTTAAGGATTTTGATACTTAAAAAGTGTTTTCTCACCCCCCACACATTTGTACAAGTGCAGTTAACATAGTTACACGAGAAGCATTTCCCCTCTGAGCAGCCACACAGCTATACTAGAGTCTGAGCATGGTGAACAGCCCTGCCTAGAAAGTGCACCTGGCACCTGGGTGTCGCTGTCCCACGCCCCTGTTCTCAAGCACTGTGTGTGTGTGTGTGTGTGTGTGTGTGTGTTGTGTGTGCATGTGTATGTGTGCGTGGCTGCCTGTGTGTGTTGTGCGTGTGTGTGTGTGTTTGTATATGTGTGAGCACACCAGTACTGGGCCTTGAACTCAGGTCCTGGGTGCTGGCTGTCCTTTAGCTTTTTTCACTCAAGGCTGGTGCTCTCCCACTTGAGCCAAAGCTCCACTTCTGGCTTTGTTTTGTTTTCTTGGTGACTAATAGAAACAAGAGTTTCATAGACTTCCCTGCCTGGGATGGCTTCAAAACACCACGGGGAACTCTGACACACACGGGATCTAGGACATGCATGTGCATGCATGGGAACTAGGACCGGGTCACAGCATCCCATGCAGCTCACAGAAATCTCATGGAGGTGTTCCATGGTATGCAAGACTTGAGTGTGCACCTCTTCCCGCTGCCTCCTGCATCTGCCCCAAGCATCTCTCCTCTAGATGCAGGTCTGAGGGCTGGGGCAGCTGACAGGGCCCAAGTCTGGGCACAGCCCAGAGCTTCCTGGAATCCCAGGCTGCCTCCTTCCTTCTGCCACCCCCTCGAAACTCAAGCACAGACCTTAGACACACCTTGGCACCAGCTGAGGTTCAGGTGTGGCCAGGCAGCCATGCAGGGCCGGCCCCCGCAGGCTGCTCACAGAGGCGGTAGCATCCTCTTGGCCTGTGCTTCTCAGTGGGAGAGATCCAGACAGAGCAGCTTCCCAGCACCAAGTCTGATTTGGAACCCAGGATCCGCAGGTGGGCCCCAAGCCCCAGACCCGCAGGGTCAAGCAAGCCCTGGGCTCCAGAGTCTGGAGCTGCAGTGGCTGCTTGAGCGTCCAGACTTGTGATGTGTGGGCTGTGGGCAAGCGGGGATCCCCAATGCCTGGCAGAGACATTTTGCCTGAAATAGGACCCCTGGTGGGGCCCCTCTGACTGCTGTCCCAACCCTGTCCTTGTGGCCCTGGGCCCTTGTGTGCCAGCAGAGTCGTGAGCCCCGACGTGTCCACACTCTGGGTCTCCTGCTTCTGTGGCTTTTCGTTGACTTAGGATCCACCTGTGTTTGCTTTGCCATTGTTATCAGCCCACAGCCCACAGCTGCTGGCCCAGGCCGGCCATTAGGTTAGTGATCAGAGGAGATGGCCACAGTTGCCCGGGGAATTTGGACCCTAGCCCTGTCCATCACACCTAATAGAGCGTTCACCCCTGCCTTCCATGGGGGCAGGCCCACCGGACACAGGTTCCAGTCCTTTTCTGAGCATAGGGACACAGAGGATCTGGAGCTGCCTGGCTTGTTTTCCTCAGTTTCCTTGTCACAGTGTCTCCCTGTGTGTCTGATGAGAATTGCAAGGTATGCTCACAACCATGGCTCCCTGTGGCCAGGGCCTGGGGTTGAGTTTCATGAGGCCCTAGGTGTATTTGGGCTCAGCCGTAGTGCTGCGGCCTCTCTCTGCTAGTATCCCTGTGTTGTTAGGGGTGTCACTCCTGCCAGCCATTGAACCAGCAGTGAGACGTGGGGCTTAATAGTGATGTAAGCAGTGCTGAGCCGCCTGTTCCCTCCACCCTGTTAATCTCTGTAATCCCAAGGCCTGGAGGCTCACCACTGCTGTTGTCACACGCATGAACACCCGGGAAATAGTACAGGAAATAGAGTAATGTGAAGTCCCAGAGGCACAACGGGGTAGCGTGGGGGGGGGTGAAGGGCAAGCTGCTGGTCAGGTGTGCCTCGGCTGCCACCTTGCTGGCCCAGACCTTGTGTGGCTTTGCTGGGAGGAACGCTGGCCATCTCCTGACCACCGGGAAGCAGTACAGGTGTGCACACTCCTCTCGGAGCGCTGCCTCTTCCACATCCAAAATCTCTTCACCTAGGCCACACAGGCCCACAGCCTCGGGGAAGCAGAGCATGATTTAGTTTTCCTGTCTGCAGTTTTTGGTCCAGAGTTCAGACTTTGACCTTGATTGGCCAGCAGTCAGCTGAACCAGTCAGGAGCTGAGTAGAGAATTCTCCATAAGCTCTGTGTGAATGTTGTTCTTCACTTCACCTAAGCTTTAACTTCAGACATTCTACCAGGTGCAAGGTCGGTAAGCGGCAGTTGGGCCTAGAGCCCAGGCAGACCGCCTCCCGCCCCTTCCCCCCCCCCACCTCCCCACCTTCACAGAGCCTTCCCTGGGGAAGCAGAGAGGACAGGGCAGCATGGTCCCAGCAGGAGTGGCCTGCTGGTTCCATGCTAGGCCTCTGGAGGACAAAGGGTTCGGTCACTCCTGGGGTCACAGGCCCCTACTATGTACATACTCAGCACCAGGAGGGCACTGGAATTGGTGCATACTTCCATGTGCAGGTGGAGAGTGAGAGTCACTGGAGGAGCTAGACCCTAGAGAGAGGACATGGGGGCCTGGGGACAGCCCCCCGCCCCAACCAAAGCCCAGCTTCCATGAGATGGGCCCATCGGGCCTAGGAATAACACTTCTCTTGGACTCAAGCCTGGGCCTGACACCCTCAGGTTCTGAGGCTCAGTTCTGGTCCCCTGACTAGTGACCTCACCTCACCCCAGAGCTTACGAACAGAGGCACAGGGCCCCCATGTGGATCACAGAGCCAAGCCCTGTCCTCCCAGGGCCTCCTGGATCTCGCGTGGTGTTGACTTGTGCTGTGCGGGACAGGCAGGTTCCTGTGTCCTACGAGCATACCTCCTGTCCCACATCCTTTACTCCTTGGCTGGCTGACTTGTGAGAACTGGAAGGCCCTTGCTCCCAGCTGTAAAATGGGCTGACTGTGGGACAAGATGGTGAAAGGGAAAACACACACACATGCACACATGTGAGTGTACACGCACGCATACACCCAGAGCGCGTGTCACAGGGAGGTGCAGGCACACACATGTGCACCCATGTGCACACACAGGCCCCCTTAGTGGGTGTCAGGGGAGTCACACGCCATATGGGCAAGCTCCCCTGGGCAGCTCCTGCTGCTGTCCCCTGCAGCTCAGGTCCCTGTGCCCACTCCCTACTCGGCTGCCTTTGTGGATGGGACCTGGCTGAGCCAGGGCCCCTGCAGGGGGGGTCCAGACAGGCAACAGGGGTGCCTGAAGCTGCTGCCAGAGGCTCAGCTGCTGCTAGGCTTTCAAGAGTTAACGTCTGCAGGATCAGGGAGCCTCACCGGCTCTTTAATCAGGGACATCGAATCCGAGTGCCTGGGAGGAGCAGCAGTCGCCTTCAGAGGCCAGTGCTGCAGCAAGCCCAGGGAGCAGCCGTGCCTGGGGCAGCCCAGGATGGAGCTTTGCAGCCTTCCTTTGTGTGCCCCAGGTGGGCGTTCCGGGAAACAGGTCCCTGGCCCCTGACAGACAGCCAGGGCGGGTGACATAGTGAAGGCATGACGTTGAGCCTCCTCTCCCTCTTGTCCCAGGACATCACGGCCCTGTGGCTCCTGCTGAAGGCCCGCTCAGGTGTGTGGGGTTCCTGTGGTGACTGGGGGCGGGGACCTTTGCGGCTGGCAGAGGTGGGAGGGGCCCTGGGCTGGGCTGGCAAGTAAATGACTGGGTTGAGGCTGGTGTGGGGGATGGTGCAGGCAGCTGCGCCTTCGAGGTGGGGGTGCTCCCTGTGGCCCCAGGACCCGTTCGCCCCTGTATCTGCTCCTGGAATGGAGTCGCATGTACCTGCGCAGAAGGACGGGAAACGGGGGTGCTCCTCTGCCTCCTTTGTTCAGGATTTCTCCTGTGTGGCGCGCGAACGAGGGAAGGCCGGCCTGGGAGTATTGTCCAGAGCCGGGTGCTTCCTCAGTGGAAGAGCAGTGCTGGCCACCGGCTTTGGGACTAAGAAGACAAGGTTTCTAGGGAAGGGAACGCAGCCACCAGCTGGGAAAAGGGGAACGGGCACACAGAGAGGAAGCAGTCATTGCTAAGAAAGGAAGGAAATGCATTTTGAGGTAACTGGCGATAATTATTTTGCAGAGGCCATTTCTGCCAAGTAATGATGAATAATTCATATTTTCTGTGTATTTTCACGAACGGAACCTCAACTGTCAGTCACAACAAATAAACATAGAAAGTTTGCCACTTTAAAATGAAACAACTGATGTGATAAATGGTGAGTTAAAGGGGCATGCCCGGCCTCCAAGGCTGGGCAAGGGTGGCAAGTTCCAGCAGCGCTCAGGCCGCACCGGCCTCCTCTGCCTGGCCAGCTTTGCATTAGTGGGGTCCACAGGACTGCAGAACCAAGGCCCCAGCCCTCCTGGGCTCCCTCCCTCCTTCTCTGTCTTCCTCAGTCTCTGTCACTCAGTCTCGGAATCTATGACCTTAAGGTAATCTCCTTGTCTCTCCCCGTTTCTCTGCCTGTACCTGTCTCTGTTTTTTGTCTGTCTGTCTGTCTGTCTGTCTCTCTCTCTCTCACACACACACACTGGTGGCTCTGATCAGCTCACCCAGGGACACCCTTGCTCCACACTATTGCTCATTGCTTTTGTTTGTCTGAGAGGTGTTTGGTGAGTGCTAATGTAATTTCTTGTTTGCGCTGAGATTTTGTGAAGTCCATAGCTAGTGGGGAAAATGTGCATGTCTGCAATTGGACTTTGAGAGTGGATGGGAATCCTGGGCCTGGGCCTGGCGCCTGGTGCTGGGACGGGGGAGACCAGCAGAGCACCTTTCCAGAGAGGTAGGCAGCTCACATGAGCTCCAGCAGGAAGGCCAGGCATCTGTTGGGGTCATCATGTTTTTCTGAGCTTTAATGGAGTGATTTTTGTTTTCCTGTTAACAAATAATTATTCTAGAACTGGTAAAAAAAGGAAAACATCCACCAAAGTCTACCATCAAAAGCTCCTTTTCTAAAGAGCAGTGGATGGCATACCAGGAACACATGACATGTGAGTGCTCTGTGCATGTGACATGTGCACCGTACCCGCACCTTTTCTATAAAAGTCAGCTGACACACAGAGGCCTCGGCAGGATGTGGGGCAGTGTAGGAAGTCCGGGCCTGGTATGGGCTGCGGCTCACCTGGCGGAGGCTCTCTGTGGAGTCGGTGTACACCTGGGGAATGCAGGCAGGCGCCACCCTGGCCTTTCTGGCCAGGTCACAGAGACCCTGCACAGAAACCATGTGTGCTTTGCTCACACTAATTTTTGCTGTATCTGCAACCCCAGCATTGAGCTTCCAAACAGGGCAACCCCCGTGGTTGGATTTGCACCATGCTATCTGGTTGGTAGAGTTGCCCATTGGTTGGATTTGCAGTGTGCCATTGTCTGTTGGTGGAGTTGCCTGTTGGTGGATTTGTGGTGTGTCATTGTCTGTTGGTGGAGTTGCCCGTTGGTTGGATTTGTAGTGTGTCATTGTCTGTTGGGGGAGTTGCCCGTTGGTTGGATTTGCAGTGTGCCATCGTCTGTTGGTGGAGTTGCCCATTGGTTGGATTTGTGGTCTGTCATTGTCTGTTGGTGGAGTTGCCCCTTGGTTGGATTTGCGGTATGCCATTGTCTGTTGGTGAAGTTGCCCTTTGGTTGGATTTGCGGTGTGCCGTTGTCTGTTGGTGGAGTTGTCCCTTGGTTGGATTTGCGGTGTACCATCATTTGGTTGGTGGGCATGGGGGTGGGGCTCTTCCCAGCCTCTGTTGGCCACCTACAGGTTGCTTTCTGGCATGGACAGGTGTCAGGTTCACTGGAATTGGCCTTGTGGCATGGCCTCTTGGTTTTTTCTCCCTTGGGCACAAGTCCCAGCAGCACGGGTCTCCTCTCATGACCCTCATGCCTATGTGGAGGGCCTTACCTGCTGGAGGCGTGGGGCTGGGGTCAGGCCAGGGACTCCAAATAGTCCCAAACTCTGCCCCCAGCCCTGCTAGGCCCCTGATCCAGTATACCATGGTCCACCCAGCACTCTGGCTGGAGATGAGGCTCAGGGAAGGGAATCTACCGTATACCATATGCACATGCACACATATGCACACAGAGCACAGGGACCAGCCCTTCCTAATGGGGTGTGTAAGCAGGTACTGAGTGCAAGAACATACCCAGGGGATGTTGGTCATTGACCTGGCCTGGGACAAAAACAACTTGGACTTTGCCAGAGCTTTTGGGTTGCAGAATGATTTCTGAGAAATGCCAGTGCTTGCTTCCTTCCGGTAGCCTGTGCATGACCTGAGTAGGTGGGTTTGCATTTGTTAAGTAGAATTACTGAATTCGGCAGACTCTGAGGAACCGGGGGCACCCAGCACAAGGAAATGTGAGCTGGTGTGTGAGGCACGGCAGTTTCCGGGTTGCTTGGTGTACGTGGTTTCTGCTTCAGTAGCCGGGCACCCTGGCTCACCTGTCCATCTCTCAGCCGTAGCCTCATGCTGGTCAGGCAGAGCCCAGGCCGACCCTGAGTCAGCCTCTCCCAATCCAACCTGCTGAGAGAGCTAACCTGCACCGAATGCAGCCTAGGGTGGCACAGCCCCCTGATGCACGTAGCCTTCACCCCACTGTCCTGCTCCAGCCGTACCTCACTGTGTGGGGCATCTGGCTGCCCCTCCAGATGCCCTGGGGGGCCATGCTGAGGCTCCAGGCCCAGAGGAGGCCTGTCTGGCACAGCTGTGGCTCCTTGGACCTGAACAGTGACTGATGGAATAAGCCTAATGTGCCATCTCTCCACTCAACCCACCGCTTCTCCACTGTATTCCTGCTGCACCCTTGCCCCCAGAACCCCTACCCCTTGGTCCTAGCCCCCAGAATGGGTGAGGGAAGCTGGCTGGCAGGATGGTGGGGCCAGGTGACCCTCCACTTCAGAGTTGGGGTCTGCCCCACAGGGGCCCTGCGCCATGGTCTGGAACACTGAGCAGGGACGAGGGCACCTCTGTCCCCACGGTGCACTGTGTGTGAGATGTGCTGAGGCTGAGGAGTTCCAGCACACACACCTGTGTGTATGCGCACATGGGCTCAATTTACACACACACACACACACACACACACACACACACACATACACATATACACGGTGACTGTGGAGAGGACTGCACTCATCATTGTAGTCAGGATTTCATCACAACATATGTTAAAGTACCACATGGTACTCTTTTAAATGGCAGGATTTGTTTTAAATATCTTTTGTCCAAGACTGGGTATTGAATTTGGTATCTGATGCTTTTGCTCACTGGCTGGTGCGCTGCCACCTGAGCCACACCTCCAACCCTTTAAATGTGTTTAATTCTCTTTAAGTAGTTGTACAAAGGAGTGCCCATCCACCAAATCCATTTATGAACACTGTGTACCTTGATCAGTGTCACCCCTCCCATTGTTCTTTCTCACCCTTCCTGCTCCCTCAATCCCCTCGGTTCTGTAGGATCTATGTTTATGTCTGTGTGCACCCCTCTTCCTCTCTTCATTCATCTAACTCCTCCCCTTGACCTCAGCCCTCGCCTTTTACACGCCTGTTTCCTGGTGGTCACTTTGTTGGACTGTGAGTGAGAAAAGCACAGGTCTTACTTGTTTTCTCAGTGAGTCTGGGGAACACAGAAACCGAGGTTGGGAGACCTTGCTGCATTCAGGTCCTGTACAGATAGCATGGCGGGCGCAGGCGCATGAAAGCCGGAGAGCGGAACCAGCTGCTCAGGCCGCAGGGAGAGCGGGATGGGCTGCAAGGGCCAAATGGAGAGAGCGGGAGAGAGGAACGGGCCACACAGACCGCAGGGAGGGTAGGGATGGGCCAAGTGGGCTGAACAGAGAGAGCAGGAGAGCAGAACGGGCAGCTCAGGCCGCAGGGAGAGCGGGACAGGCCACACAGGCTGTTCTCAAGAAATAAATACTAAAGCCACCACAAGCCCACCCAAGCTTTCCCCAAGCCCCCTGCTGTCCCCATGACCTCCCTACCCCCAAGCTGGGGCCTCCATTACCGGTCTCCTGGAGACCATCAGCCAGCCAGTATTGGCTGTGTCTGCACGACGTGTACAGCGGGAGTGCTTCCCCAGTGACCACAGGGGCAGGATGACCAGACTGCCATGTGTCCTGAGTCTCTCTGTCCCTGTGCAGGAGGTGGCCGTCGGAGAGCCCTACCCAGCGCCCTGCCCCATGGCCACCAGCTGTTCTGGGTGCAGCAGCTGCAGGGTCCACCCAGCACGCATACTGCTGGGTGAGCCCTCAGCTGCTGTCAGCACACACAGGCCTTGTGAGAGGAGGCCAGAGGGCAGGTGTGCCTCGGGCCCACTGGAGAGGACAGGATAGGCAGGGAGGGACGCGTACTCCACATGCTAGCCTCTCCTCCCCGAAAGCTCAGGTGGCCCTGAGAGACTGGAGAGTCTTGGTCTATGCTCAGGGGAGGCCCAGAGCTGGAGGCCCAGAGCCAGAGGCCAGTCTGCTTTTGCTGGCTGTCCTACATGGCAAACACTCTGAGCAGCTCTGCACAGCACCCTTCCTCCCCCTGGGGCCTCAGAGTGGTCAGATCTGGGGGTCAGCACTGAGTGCTCAGCACCCCCATCCCCGGCCCCTGAATG